CATTTGTGGAAAAATAAATACATTTTGCATAGAAAATGAAATCCAGAGACACATTTAAGATACATATATATTGAGAAAATAAATGGTTAAAAGCAAAACTAAACAAACATAAGAAGATAAGAAACTATTCATCTATTTGCCCTTACATCTACTTGAATAGTTTTTCTATACTAAGCTTTTCTATTGGTTTTAGGAATTATCCCACTATCATGTGTTTATACTGTGGGGAAAACATTCTAATATGAATAATTATGGGTTTTTTCTGGACTTGATTTTTGGTGAGAATCACATTTCTGTGAAATTAATAACAGGATATTTATCCTGGACTGTTTAATAAAAGCTATAGTTCATCCTAATATAAAAGACCGAAGACAATATTTTATTTTGGGTTGACCCAGAAGCAGACTCTGATACAAAGGTTCAAATCCAACTAGTTTAGGTAGGGGATGATCCTAGAAAACAGTAGGAAATTAAGGAAATGAGCTGGGAAAGAACTAAAGCTGAAAATGATGTGTTATAAAACTGGTTATTATGGTGGAAGCTGAAACCGAACTCTGACAAGGAACTCTGGAAGATCATTACCCTAGCTGATCCCAACCAAGCAATGAGGAGGCTAGTGCATGTAGAGGTTATGTCCCTACTCACCATGGACTGAGAAATGCTTCAGGTTATATGAGCTCCCCAGAACTTTGACTTACACTCAGCACAGCCTGAGGGTGCTCTTTCTGTACCCAGGGGAAAAAAAATTCTCAGCAGGAAGCCATAGGTTTTTGCAATAGAACTTTTGGCTGTGTGAAGGTGGGTGCCAAAAACATATGGGTGTGGCTCTGAAAGCATCTGTTTCAAATAGAATTCTCAAGTGTCAGTCAAATGCTCCATGTTTTAATCATAAGAACACTCTTTTGATGAACTTTTAGATGGCTGCTTGCCATGTGATACATTATTTATGCACACATATGTTCTTGCTGCTGGTTGCAATGCTGGTATGTTTGATTTTTCTCAGCTCTCTGCTTTGGCTTTTAAACCTATTTCGATGGTAAATCTCTGGAGTATAAAATAATATTACACATCATTTACTATGGGTGTTTGGACAAATGTGGCTGAATGTATGTGTGAAGGTATATATGACTTTCTATACTTCTAAAGTTTAAAAAATTTTAAATGAGGTTGTTATAGATGCTAACTATAAGGATTCCTGTAGTAGAATCTCATGTTTACTGCATTAAAAATGCAATCCATGTCCTCTTGCAGTGAGGAGACAGCACAGAGTAAATGATGCCTTCTGGGTGCTTAAACAATTGTTAATGTTTTTTTTTTTGTTTTTTTGTTTTTTTGTTTTTTACTTCCAAAGTATGAGTAAATCTCTCCTTCCCTAATGCAAAACTAATTTATTTTTAAACCATTTTCTCTTAATTTCCAGTTTCTGACCACAATCTGGTGCATGAAAAAGCAAAATTTAATCTTAAGAGAATTAATGTCCACTTTGTATTTTCCCTATTCAATGAAAAATCTGTGATCTTTTGTAAACCAGAAAAAATAAATGCAGTGAATATTATAGTGGAAACCACTAGAACTAAATCTCATATTTATTCCTAATGTCATCATGTTTGACACATGCTTGTGTCTTTTCTCTATTTTATTAACTAAGCTCTCCAAGTGATTTGGAGGACATTGCCTCTGGAAGTTTATTTTTAATTGGGAATAAAAGTTTTTATTTGCACATATAGGTTCACACAAAAACTTCTCACTCAGCCATATATTCACAGTTCCAAGCATATTGTTATATACTCTGGCATCAGGAGTGAAAACCATCCATGTTGATTAGCTGAAACAAACACTCTTCCAGGAGGCTTTGCTATCTGTGTAGTGTAGGGTGTGCAGCCAGGGGAAAAGTGAACTGTTAATTTTGTTTTAAATCTATCTGTATGTTTGAATTTGCAGCCAACTTTGAAAAATGAATGGCAATGGAGTGTAAGGCAGCTAATCCCAAGCAAGTGACCCTCTGATAACTATTTATATTTTATTATAGAAAGGATTTCTTTTGATTATGGAAGCATCTGATGGTCTGAAAATCCAAAATCATTTAGAAAAAACTAAGTTTTGAAGTTAATATCTCACTTAGTTGGGATATTAATACGGGCCTGGCTTTCCATTCTGGCTTCTAACTCATTTCCCATCTGTCTCTGATTAGAAATGGACAGCATCACCTCACAGAGTGGCTCGCATATAGAGGATCAGTGCTGTTGAGAGGGAGCTGAGAGAAATCAGAGATGTAGTTCTAATGACATTTTACAATTTTTCAACTATGCCAAAAAAATAGGAGGGAGGTAAAAAGTGGAAAAGAAAAATGGCATAACCGAACACCTTTTGCATACTAAGAGCTAAAGCTAGAATTTTTCATTGTTGAGTAAATATGTTCTGCCCATCTATTACCTACCACCGTCTTCATAAGCATGGAGGCTGTCGTATTGAACAAGACAACATCCCAGCTTTCACTAGAGAAGCTTTTGTTTCAGTAGAGAGACATATATAATCAAGTAGCTGTAGAGATGAGAAAGATGAAGAAAAAAATAATGTTTTGATTTCAAGAGGTAGTTTGGAGTGTATGTGTGTGTGCGCGTATGTGTATGTGGACTGCTCTTTGAAATAGAATTGTATTTCAAATAAGAGCTGAGTGGTGTGCCAGCTGTGTTGGCGCTTGCCTTGCCTGTAGTCCCAGCACCAGCCTCCAGTCGACGCAGGAGGATCGCCTTGAGTTTGAAGCCAGTTCCTGAACTATGTAGGAGATCCTGTCTCAAAAAAAAAAAAAAAAAAAAAAAAAAAAAAAAAAAAAAAGGAGTGAGGAATCAAGACTGAGCAGAGAGGTAGGAGAGTGCGGGGGAGACCAGCCAAGCCAAACCACTGACTTAGGACCAGAGACCT